TCACTCTCACTCTCACTCTCACTCTCACTCTCACTCTCACTCTCACTCTCACTCTCACTCTCACTCTCACTCTCACTCTCACTCTCACTCTCACTCTCACTCTCACTCTCACTCTCACTCTCACCAAGCAGTTATTTGTTAGTCATACTGTACAAACTAATGTGTGGATTTGATCTGAAGGATTCCTACAACGAACCTCCTGAAAACTACTACAGACTTAAAAGCCTTCTTTTTGACTCCTCCAACATGTGTTTTCAAAGGATTTTTAAATAGCTTTAACATTCTCAAGTGCAGACATTGAGTGAAATATCTCACAGTGGTGAGGAGAACACTTATGCCTTCGTATCATAGGCAACCTTGATTACCACGGCCATTTACCTGCAAGAGACTTCATCCACTTGAGTGATTGCACGAGTGGGGCACTTAATCTGTTGTAGAAAGGATTTCATGGGATGTAATTCTTTTTGACCGTCTCTGCCAACGCAGGTTAACGGCACCAGCAGAACCTTTCAACTTTAGGGATTGAATTCACAGGATCCATGTTTCAGGATCCAGTCATTTCCTGTTTGGGCTCCTTTTTTTGCCTAATTGAACAATGGATAAAAAAATCCAAACAAACAAATTTCATCTCAAAAAGTGTTGGTATCTCCCTGGGTGAATTGTTCTAGTACTGTTTCAACACTTACTGGCACACAGTTAATGAGGAACCGAGCACAGTACTGGTACTTATCTAATAAGAGGAGCCTGTGTGTCTGTTGAACGGCACGGTCCACAAACAGTTCTCGTTACAACAGGGGGAAACGGCAGAAAACGTTTGTGAATCAAACTGTTTAAACTGTGGCAACAAACTGCCTTCAATATACGTCCTTATACGGTATATAAAGCATTCATATCACCAGAGAGTCAGCGTGGACACGACCACTGTATTTGTCTGACCAGTATCTGGCCACCGTCAGCTCGTCACGCTTGTTTCCCAATGGTGAAGAACTGTGTACATACTAGAAGTGGAGCAGAATGTTGTCAGCTCTGATAAGCACTGAGTAAACACAGCCATGGATAAACCTGGGACATTATGTGAAAGAATACTGCAATATCTGTGTACAGGTGGAAAACACTGGCTTTAGCAACTGCACACCACGACTTCCAGCCATTGACCATAAAAATATAATCATGTTGTGGGTTTTATGGCCCAGAACAAACAGATTAACTTTGAAAGGTCAACACAACATTACAGAGGTATTCAGATATTTATTAAAGTTGCCTCAAAATGGTCCAAAAGTCAAGAGTCCAGTCACGTGGTAGTATCTTTAATGGTAACTAATATGGTTGATCACATTTAAAAATACCTCTGAATCCTAAATAACAGTTCAGTCACAAAGTTCTAAGACTTGAGCCTTTGAACTCAGGTTTTCATGAATCTGTTTCCCCAAACAGAGAGAACAACAGCTGATTCACAACAACAACAACAACAACAACAACAACAACAACAACAGCCAGGTTGACTGTCTTAGACATATCTGTGGGGAGTTTGTAGAGCAGCAACCCCCCCCCCCCCACTCCCCCCTGTCTTTTACTGTATAGACTATACATCAGTGATGTTCTGCTGGGCTCTTTGTCATGGAAATCCAATGGCTAGACTTCCTCCCCCTCACTGTCGTGAGCAGATTTCTCCTCTTCAACCAAACACTTTTTCCCTGCTCATGTATTAATACACAACAACTATTTGTTTTTTTCACCCCCTGAAATATCCATTCGTTTTAATGCTTTCCTGACATTTAAAGCCTGTGATATTATGCACAAAATAACTGTGAATAAAAGTTTTGTCATTTTATAAAGTATCAATGACAGCAGCATGTTTTCCCACTGAGGCCAACGCTGTGTTGTTCCATTACTACTCCTCCAGTCCCTGCTGGGTTCAAACTTCAGCGGCCAGTGGAGAGCCCGGCTCCAGCTGCCCGGGCTCCAGCCCGGCTCCAGCTGCCCGGGCTGCAGCCTGTTCTGGAGGAGTGAACCAGACACCCGTGAGGTGTCATGCACCACCATTCCATCATAGGCAGCGGAGGGGCCACATGAGGTGAACACATGCATGTGATACAGAGGAGGGGGCGCAAGGTGCAAGAATCACCAGTGATTCCCGATCTTTTCTCACTTAGTTTTGGACTAACTGCACTTCACAGCCTCACACGAGGGACTCGTGGGAGAAAGAAAGAAAGAAAGAAAACACGCGTGGATGAAGGAAGAGAACACTTTACCTTGCTTGGAAGGACCACAAAACAGCGAAAGAAGACACAGCAGCCAAAATGTTCTCTCCACCGCCATGTACAGCCTTTGATTTCCACCACCGGGGTAACAGCGTGCCTCCGTACAACCACCGTAGTCTGGATATGCCGTCAACGCCACATGCGTTTGCTGGAATCTGCTATTGTCTCCGCCGGTGCGTGAAAGAGTCGGCGCTGCTTCGGCTCCTTCCCTCACAACGAGGCTGCACTGGGCTGCCGTCGAGCCTCTCGGCGCTTCAACGCCATGTTGCCAACCAATGTTTAGTGTGTGTGTCGGCTGCTGCTCCGCACACACGTGCACACACACACATGCGCGCACCGACGCGCACATGCACGTTCACCAGACACTGGCTGGCTGCTGGTCCTGAAAGGCTGCTGCTGGTTCTCAACACGCCTGTGTGGTGTTGGTTCGTCCCCATGCTTTACCACTAATCATCATCATCATCATCATCATCATCATCATCATCATCATCATCATATTAATATTAATAATTAGGCTCCACACACTCCTCCCTCTCCTCTGTCTGGGACAATGCATCTATTACAAAGGCATGGCATCCGTGATGACTGCTAATATGTTGCCCTGACTGAACCCACCCTGGGGTTCACTGCTGCTGCTGCTGCTGCTGCTGCTGCTGCTGCTTTAGAGCCACATGTTCCATTAAAAATATTTGCATCATGCAAAATCAGCTCTCCTCTGTGATTGTTCTGTTTTCTGAGTGTTTGTTTATTCATGCTGCATGTACATGGACGTGCACGCATGGGTGCATGAATTTTAATGAGTGCAAGAAGAGAGAGTGGGAGAGAGAGGGGGAATTAATGAAAAAGAGGCACATGTTCTCCATGAAGGAGAACAAGCGGTAGGAGGAGGAGGTTGGTGTGTGAGTCTGTGTGAAGGGGTGGGCGTGAGGTCCCATTCCCAATCAATCAACCATCTTGCCTCCTGCAATGAGTGCTGAGGGACACACTGTCTTTTTTTTTTTTTTTTGCTGTGTATGAAACCACACAGACAGAGCCAGCTGGAGCTCAGCGTTCCCACATTTAGACAAAGACTAATGCAGCACTCCCAGCATCACTGATACAGGACGCAGCTCTACATATCATGTATGTATGTATGTATGTATGTAGGAGAGAGAGACACTGGGACAAAGCAGAGGATTCATATACCACACCAGTCGTGTACATCAGGGTAGTCTTTCATTAGTCAGTGTAAAATCGCTCCTGTGTGGACGTTATCTTCCTCATCAACCGCCTGTTTAGATGAAAGTACTACAAATCAACCAGAGAAGTCACTGTACACTCCAGTATTTGGAGTACATGGTGCCCTCCCTATAAAAAGAAAACAACCAGACAACAACAACAACAACAACACCGAGCCGACATGAAAGTGATCCTGTTGTTATTAATAGTCCGTCTGAGCAGATTTCACAACACGGTGGATTCATTTGATGCCGATATGAGATGGACTCGTGCTGATGAAGTGAAACGTGATGGAGTCGTCTCCCAGGTGTCAGATTAAGGCCCATGTTACAGCCATCAGATTATGTGATTGCATTGGAAATCTAATAGCATCGCCATGTCCTCTGTGATTGTGGTCAAGCTGTAATTTCCCTGCTTCTCCCTTTTCCTCCCCAGCTGCCCTAAAATGATGAACACAAACTACCAGCTGCTCACAAATCACTAAAACGCATCATGATACACACAGCCAAACCTGGTCTGCTTCACTGGTTTTCCAGGGAGTGTCAATAAATATAATGTTACGCCGTGTTCGTGCTGCGACGTCAACAGTCGCGTCAGGCTGGTTAACGACTGGCACCACAACAAAACCTCAAAGATCCAGTGAACAACCTGCCTGGCTGAGTCGCTCTTATGTTTTTAACTGTGAAGAACCTGAACGTAATCAACAACTGTCACGACACATCTGCAAACCACAGGCAGATGGAGCTGTGCTGGGGTTGGTGTTGTCAGTCAAAAAGAAGTAAGAAATCAGAGCAGGGCAACGTTGCTGAGAAACTAATTTTCACAGTTGCTACTCTCCCCACTGAGATCAATCATTATTGATCATTATGTGTCAAAACCATGAGGATCCAGTCGTTGTTCTTGGCAGAGTAAATAAACATTATGTTACTCTTTTCTCTGGCAGCAGGTTTTCTTTAGCAAATGTTTTTATCCAAAGAGACTCACATTATCAAGCACCTGATTCCTCTGGGAATCGAACCCAGGACTCTCTGCTCTCTGCTTCTGCGGCAGCCATGCTAACTGCTTCACTATGGAACCACAAGGCCTCGCTGTAACAAGGTAAAACACTGATCGTTTGCTTGCTAATTTATGACCTTGATAAGATGTGATCACGACTGCTGTCAAAACAGACACCAGGTCGTCTTTAATTCATGCTTCATTCATTTTAGGGAAAATATGATTCAAAGTTGTAGTGGTTTTAAGCAAATTGAAGCAGATACATATTTAAACACCTAGTTCCACTCTAGTTAAAAGATAATAATCTGCTATGGCTCCATAGAGAAGATCATCATCTGACCAGTCTAGTAGCTTTGACAAAGCAGGTACTGTATATTTTATAGTTCCATCTTCAGCTACTCATACTAAGTGGTCATTAATGGTCCCAGTGATAACAGATCACAGGTGATTTAAACTATCATTTAACTAGATTGCTTGCAGACATATGTACAGCAGGAGGTCCATTTTCCCTGTGAATTGCAAAGAAATATGAACTGGTGATTCCATCCCGAGGTTCATTAATCGCTCTGTTGGACGTTCACATTACTGTAATGTTCTCAGACTCAACTGTGGTGAACTGGAACTGGGTTTGGGGGGGAATAAATGGAACCATTTTCTGCATGTTTCTAAACAATAACATTGTGACTTTAGTCCTCACAGCAGTAGTAGACCAGTCGTCTCTGAGTTAGATCTGTTAGATCCTATAATAATCAGTGTTCCTGCTCCACAGTGATGACTCCTCATGTCATGTATGGAGATGAGGAACAACTGCCACCAGCTTCTCTGTTTCAGTTGGGATTCAAACAATGATTCAAATAATTAAAGTTGTTGTTTTTACTGGTCTGATGTCACAACAGGGAGAAGAACTGGAGGTTTTTTATACATCCATCCATCTGTCTGAACATCATCTGTACAGCTCCTCCTCCAAGTGTCTCAGGACACATGAAATCAATCAGAGCCGACTGTGGCTGAGAGACACCGTGATGAACCAAGAAAATGTCAGAATTATAATACACTTCACCTCCAACACTAGTGATTATCGGTGATTAGAAAGTAACCACTTCCTGTTTCCTGCCAACTATAAACTGCTGTCTGTCTGTCTGCGTCCTTGTCTCGAGGACACCCGTGTCCCAGTCGTCAGTCTTTGAGGTTCCTGAATTTGAATGCTGAGTACAGTAGTCTTTCATCTTCCTCAAGGTCACAGACACCTAGTTCAATCTGACAGCAGTGGCTCCTGAATTTGTAAGGTAATGCCACACTGTCAGACAGAGATAGGACAGTGCCCCCTGCTGGGGGATCCAGGGAGTAACCACACTAGGATCAGACTGAGCCATACAGCCTTTTGTCCTCGCAGAGAGGATCACCAATCTGAACGACTGTACCAGGACAGTTCTTGGTCCAACTTTTATTTTGCATTATTTTTGTACGCATTTCAAAAACAGCAGAACCAGCGTTGGTGTCTGTGTCCTTAATGAAACAATACTTTTTTTTTCATCCTCCTTTTCCAGCTTAGTTAAGTCAAGTTCTGTGAAATGTTTAATGAACAAACAGTTCATGCTGCAGTCCATGGTTCATGTTTGGATATGTAAATCTGGGGCTGTATGATTGCCCTGCCACAATGCTATTCCACCTCCGTCCACTGAAGGGGTGCCCTGCGCATACTTGGCCTGGGGGAAAGCATCTCCATGGAAACCAAGACAATGGTGGCACATTGGTTTATAGGGCAACTGGGCAAATAGTTTTTTATTCTTGGAGGACAATGAGACTGGAGAGTTCTGGCACTGGATCAGCTCTGACTGCTTCAAGCAGAGTTATTGACTATACAATAATACACACTTATTTCCACCTAATTAAAAGAGTGTTTTTTAGGAGTCTGGTGTAGTTTGTGACTATGGCCACAGAGGGAGTGGTGCTGCTGTAGTGAAGTCTTAAAATCAATGACACCAAAGAGAAAACATTCTCTTATGATTAACAGAAACAAAGGTTACAATATTTTTAAAAAAAAGTCATCTATCAATCAAGATTGTAACCCCCCTCCTTTCTCCCCCCCCCCCCCCAAAGAATCTAGAACAGCCACTGTCCCTTGAGTCTGCTGTCTGTCAAAGTCACACATTAAGGCTGTCACCTCTGACCAGCAGGAAACACAGGTTTGATTGGACACTAATTACAGTCTTCAGAATAATCTGAACCCAAATCTGAATAATGCCAGGGTTTGAAGGTAGATTTGGTTTTTCTCTCTGGTCCAGTCACAGGCAGCGTTTGTTGTTTCTAGAGGCAGAACGGAAAACGAAATGAAAAAACAAAAACACGCACTCGTTTGTGATTGTACAGAGAAACATGTCAAAAAATCTGGAACGACCTGTGATATACTTTGCACAGAAACTGAGCTGGATGTAACAAACTAAATAACATCTTCATCTTCTGCCTCAGTTCTCCAGTCCAACAACTTTAAACCTCCAGCTACACCTGGGCTCAAATTCATGTTCATGTTTTTGTGTAAAGACATTGGAGCAACCAAAGATACTTGACTTATAAATGACATATATTTCTATCATCCATCCATCCATCATCATCCACCCTACCTTCACACCTTCTTTCTTTCCTTCCTTCTTCCTTCTTTACTCACTCTCTTACCTAATGACCTTCACACCTTCTTTCCTTCCTTCCTTCCTTCCTCTCTTACCTAATGACCAGCTCACCTTATTTCTTCCTAACCAGTTTTCATTAAGTCAACATTAACTAAAGTCTGGGACATCGGTGTTCATCATAATGTCCTTGATATGGAGTTTAAAATGACCGTTTGAGCTCTTTCAGCACCATGGACAGAGAGCTGAAGAGCGATTGGGTCAACAGTACCACGTTACGGATTATCGTAATCTGTCTATTGGTTTGAATGAACGGGACGGTAGATTCGACGACTGTGATTGGTCCAGAGCAGTAACATCCAGCTGATCCTGTCACACTGTCAGTCATAAACTGACACAACAGTCTAACAGTGAGAGACGACCTGCTCTGATAGTTCGTCGTCGTGCAGTCGAACTGTCCCTCCGTGTGACTGTGTGTGAGAGGAGAAGCCGGTGCTCCGTGGAGGAGGTAAGTGGATTAGGTTTGCCGTGGAATCCCTAATGCCTGACAACGACCGCCATCACTCTGTCAAACTGTTTTATCACTTTACCGTCAAACGCAGTTTCTGGTAGAAGCTCCTGCAGCTACAACCGCGTCCTCGTCCGTCTGTAACATGTCAGCTTTTGTTGTTTGTTTGTTTGTTTTTTTCTCTCCTTCGGTCGTTGAAATGTTATGATGAGCCTGGAGGGCTCACACTTTAAATCCCTCAAAGCCCAGCACCTTCTGTTAAAGGCTCGATTCTCAAGACTAATGTGTTGTTACTGATACTGTATGACGTCAACGTCGACTGTTCACCAGGCCCAGGAGGCTGAAGGAGTTCGACTCAGAGGATCACGTGACGCCGTGCCCACATGGCAGGTCAGTAGTTACACACACGGTAATAAAGACTGTCATCTGCCTCACGTGACTGACGTGATCATCCTGTTCCAGAGCCCAACTTCCCGCCGCTGCCCGGATTCATTCCGCTGAAGCCGTGTTTCTATCAGGACTTTGATGAGATCCCAGAGCAGCACCGCAGCATGTGCAGGAAGATGTACCACCTGTGGATGTGTGAGTGCACGTGTGAGTGCACGTCTCTGTGCCACTGTCTGTCCGAGTCATTATTAAACACACGTCACACAGCAGATGATGACGTAGTCAGTAATGTCAGCAGAGTTTCCTTTATGGGCCGTGACTGTAATAACCTGCACTGAGCAGATGGCCTTGGTTTGAGCAGAGCAGTTAACTATAAAACAACCGTGTCAGATATTTTGGCCAGAAACACTTTGATCAGAGTTTATTACGTCATAAAAAGGCAGTTTAATGGTGTTTATTATGTCGCTCCCTGCTGTTACATGTCAGGGACACAAAAAGTAACACGATGAAACCCTGAGCAAGAGCTACGGTATTAAATAATAATAATAACTATAGCAACTGTAAAAAATCATTGAAATAAAAGTAGGCGTCGTCCAGACACAAGTTGACATGATTTGGTCTGTTTCCACATTTTCACTGTGAAAAGTATTTTCTCACGTGTCTTTTTGCAGGAGTCTGTGTTCCACACACCTGAGCAGGTATTCAAACTCTGTGCTGATGTTCACTGTTTTTTCCATTTGTATTTGATGTGAGTCTTTCACTGCATGTCCTTCTTATTCCAACACTGAAGTGAACAGTGTGTTTTGGCTTTCACTGAAATAAGTCGTGCACGGAGAAAGAAAGCAGATTTTTTTTCTTTTTACATAAATCATCTCTGTGTTTTTTTTTTTTAGAATGATTTTACTTATCAAATATGCTTTGGTGCCGTTCACTTTCATCCCATTAATAAAACCGTCTTGTGGCGCTGCAGTAAACAGTGCCACCCTGGCGGTCAATCTCATTGGCTGCTTTGCCTGGATGTTCGGTGGAGGAGGCGTGACCAACTTTGGACTGGCCATCATCTGGCTGCTCATGTTCACGCCCTGTTCCTACGTCTGCTGGTTCAGGCCCATCTACAAGGCCTTCAGGTGAGTGACGTCATCATCAGAATGAAAACAAATGAAGTCTGGGATTGGGATTAAAGGTGCAGGACACTGTTCTTTTGTTTTTCTTTTCACAGGAGTGACAGCTCCTTCAACTTCATGATGTTCTTTTTTGTGTTCATCGCCCAAGTTGGCATCAGTATCATCCAGAGCATCGGTATCCCAGGATGGGGAGTCTGGTAAGAACTGCCCCAAAAATGTTTTTTTTTTTTTTTACTATTCAGGTTCAAACCATTGAATAAAAAACTAAAAAGTTTATAAAGCTGCTGCTGGAAGTGCGATGCAGAGAAATTAAAACTCAAAACAACTTTAGTGTCAGTTACGTCAAGGATAACTTATTTGATGGATATTAAACATAATGATCCAGAGCAGTTTAATCCATCTCATCACATTGCTTTATAATGAACGCATACCATTATGGCTAAATGCATAATTCATCATGCACAACTGTACCAGTATTTCCAAGTCATTAATTTGTCAGTGTACCCCAAGCAGTAAAAGTACACACATATACATATATTAGAAATTCAAATGTAACTTTGAATGATTGACTTTGAATGAAAGAGCGACTCCAGTCAGGTGAACACTTTCTTCTCAACACCTTTTTACTGGTCCCATTAACAGGACGGTGACGGACCATTAGGACTTGGCCTCATATAATATTTATGATGGGCCTGTTATTAGATTTGGAGAGGCTGCTAATGGGGATCCTCAAAATGTCACCTGACTCAGGCTGATGATCAGAAATGAATATTATGACAGCCTCTATAAAGATGGTAAATGTCACCATGTGCAACTGCTGATCTCCACAAACCGGAGCTGCACTTCATTCCACGCTGACAGGATGATCGCTTTCTAACCGCTGTGACAGGGAGTCACATTAGAACCTGTGCACCCTAGTGGTCAGTGTTAGCGTTGGATAACGATGTACCGCTGTCTTCCTCCACAGTGGTTGGCTGGCAACCATTTCCTTCTTCAGCTACAATATTTTGATTGCCCTGATCATGTTGGTCCCTACGGTCATGTTCACTGCTGTGGCCTCGCTGTCGTTCATCGCTCTCACCAGGGTAGGAACAGAACTGACTCACTCTCCACAAAGTAGAGAGACAACCGAATGATAACAATTAGAAAAAGAACGATCGTCTTTGTTTTGTTCTATGTCAAAGGAAAAAAACATCTTCATTGATACTGGTTTTAGAAATTGATAAATGATGTTTGTTGTAACCCAATATTCAGAACAGTGGTTCTCAAACTGTGGTACATGTCCCACTGACAGCACTTCGACTCCCTGTTCTTGTAGCGGGAGATTTTAGCGATTTTGTGAAAGTGTTGAATAATAATTCAGTACCTGTCTTTGTTTAGATGAACGGGCTCGACCTTTCACAGTTGTCAGAAGAGTTGTCTTATCACTGCAGCTCTTTCAGTCTGTAGTACCACCTCAATGCATATGGAGAGCAGGGACACCAGAGCTGACCACCAGGGGACGCCAGAGCTAACGATAGACACCACAGTCTTGAGGCAGGCAGATGAGGTTAAAGGTTAAAATGTAGAGAAAACAAACAAACAAATGTGAGTTTGCACTAATCTAAGAATTTAGTAGACGGATCAGAACTGCACAGGTTCACGTCCGTGGAATTAAGTCCATTTCCTGTTTAGGTTAAATCAAAAACAAAGCCTACAGTATATTGAACCTTTGTTAAGGTTAAACCACTAATGTGTGAACCCACCTGGCTGCAGATCCATAACTTCTACCGTGGCACCGGGGCCAGCATGACCAAAGCTCAGGAGGAGTGGAGCAGTGGGGCCTGGAAGAACCCTCACGTCCAGGCAGCTGCCCAGGAGGCCGCCATGGGGGCAGCTGCTGGAGCCGTGCAGAGCCAGTACTCCAGCCCACAGTACCATGACAACCAGATGTAGCGCCGCCTCTGCAGAAAGGTGTCTGAAAATGAAGGGAAAGTGAAGGTGAAAGGGAAGGAATTAGTTATATTCTTTCTTTGGTTGTTTTAAGGAATAACAAAAAACAAAAAATATTTCTGGGAAAAGTAGTTTTGTATTTTGTCTGATTTTTAATTCAGCAACTAGTATTTCTTAGCTATTTTAAAATAAATATAATAATAAATACCTCAGAGGAATGTACTTCATTATTTTTAAATGTCAATTCCATTGTTTTTTTAATCACTTTGTGTTTGTTCCAGTGAGAGATGTTAAATGTAACTAGTCTTTAATGTGTTTTAATAGTACAGACATTTTGTGAAAGGTTCCAAATGTCTGAATTTAAATAATGTTCATTTCTGTGACTGTTGGACAATTTTATCGTTACTGAAACCTATACTGCTCTGAAGACAGAGAATAGAAAAAAGAACAGGTTCTGTGAGAATGTGAATATTAATAAATGTGAGTAAAAATAAATATGAAAATTCATCAATGATGTTTGTTTTTATAGAAAAAAATAAACCGTTAAATACATACATTTATGACATCCTTTAACAGTGCAATATGGCTAACTGACCACTGAGAGGCGCTGCTGCTTTTAGTATAACAAACTCATGTACAGTTTACCTTCATTCATCCTTCACAGATCATTTCTTCTGTTTCCACCTTCTCTGTCTGTTACTTCCGGACATCAGCAGCGATTTGAAGACTGTGAAAATTATTCTACTCTATTTTAGACGTGACGTTTTGTTTGTGTCATGTTGATGGACACGTTCGTATCTGGAAGAATGTTGTAAGACCTGCCACAGCAGCAGGAACAGCAGTAACAGCAGCAGTAACAGCAGCAGCAGCAACAACAGCAGCAGCAGCGGCAGCAGCAGCAGTAACAGCAGCAGGAACAGCAGCAGCAGCAGGAACAGCAGTAACAGCAGCAGTAACAGCAACAGCAGCAGTAACGGCAGCAGCAGCAGTAACAGCAGTAGCAGCAGCAGTAACAGCAGCAGCAACAGCAGCAGCAGCAGCAGCAACAGCAGCAGCAGTAACAGCAGCAGCAACAGCAGCAGCAGCAGTAACAGCACCAGTAACAGCAGCAGCAGCAGTAACAGCAACAGCAGTAACAGCAGCAGCAACAGCAGCAGCAGCAGCAACAGCAGAAACAGCAGCAGCAGCAGTAACGTCAGCAGCAGCAGTAACAGCAGCAGTAGCAGCAGCAGCAGCAGCAACAGCAGCAGCAGCAGTAACAGCAGCAGTAACAGCAACAGCAGCAGTAGCGTCAGCAGCAGCAGTAACAGCAGCAGCAGCAGCAACAACAGCAGCAGCAGCGGCAGCAGCAGCAGTAACAGCAGCAGCAGTAACAGCAACAGCAGTAACAGCAGCAGCAGTAACGTCAGCAGCAGCAGTAACAGCAGCAACAGCAGCAGTAATAGCAGTAACAGCAGTAACAGCAGCAGCAGCAGTAACGTCAGCAGCAGCAGTTGTTGACGTCAAAACACGGTTGACATTTCAAATGTTAAAGACATTAAAGGGATATTTAATCAGGTGATGTTAATAATTTGACGACTTTCATTTCACTTCATTTTAATTCTTTCACTTTCATATGATTTTTGCCGTTTCAGTAATAAAAGCCACTAATTAATAGATTATATTGACTAGATAAGTTAAAACAATGGTAATAAGGTTAGACAACGTTAATGCAAAGTTTACAGTATTAGCCCAGTGAAGGTGCAGGAGTCCTACCCCTCCACCAGGGGCACTGTTTGGCCTGGTGGAACAACGTCACCTGAAGCTGCTCTTGGCTGCCACACTGTGTCCGTTCCTTTAACCTCTTCTCTTCTGGACAAACACCGTCGTCGGCACAAACATGGAAATCCACTGTGACAAACTGTGACGACTTTGTCAGTCGCAGAAATGTCGCCGTGTTTTTTTCTTCAAATTCACGACGACTGTAGAAACGTCACGTCAGCTGGACTAGAACTGAGGCCATCTGGTGGCTGTGGTTCAGGGTGGCTTCAGTTTCACAGCGTGGCGTTCTCACTACTGTTCTTTAACAAGATTCTTCTGCACATCTGTGTGTCTTGTTTGTGACACATCATTAAATATCAACGGGAGTCCTTTACGTTCTGTGGCCGTGGCAGCTTCTCTCCATGATCTGATGTGGTTTTGTTTTGTTTTCTCAAAACAATTTGATAGAAAACACGTTTGTGAAGAAGGATTTGACACGACGTGACAGCGAACGTTCCCAGGTAAACACACTGTATCTGCAGACGTTTGACTAAGTGACTGATGAGGCATTAAATGCTGTGACGGAGCAGCGTTCATCATTCATTAAAGATAATTAATTTCACCAATGGATGCTTTGAAAATAGTGAGATATCAGCGCTGCACTTCTGCTTCAAAGTTAATAAATTCCAGAACGAACCGAGACTAATTATCAGTTCCAGTTTCTGAACGATTTAATATTAAATTCAAAGGGAAAGGATGTTAGATTTTACATCAGCCAGACTGTTACTAGCTGTCACTGCCTGTTAGTATTTCCTCCACTTCATTCCAGCAGATACAGAATTGGTATTCCAAGTAGTGTTTTCCGTTTTTGGCAAAAGAAAATACATTTCCACTTCCTTGTGACTGCGTTAGCCAATCAAATCAGTTCATACATTTAGCTTGGCTGCTAACCAATGAGCCGCTGGGTTCAACCTACCTTCACACCTGCGACAGCCTGTAGTGGCTCTGATGTGCTGTACTTCACACTGAGGTCGTAGATGAAGGCGTGACCTGCCAGTTTGACCTGTAGGTGTCAACAGAGAGAGAGAGAGAGAGAGAGAGAGAGAGAGAGTTTTCAGGTTTCATTTCCCAGGAGAGACTGAGCTGACACGTGTGTGTGTGCACATACATGAACACACACTCAGACAACATCATCCTGGAACAGGTACAGTACAAACTGACACATGTTCTGAGAACAGACCCAGGCAGCTGAACTGAACAGACACACATGGAAACAAATCATCCTATATCACACGGTCACTTTAGAGAATCCACTCAGTATTACTCTGCATGTTTTGAACCAGAGCGTCCCCTTCTTTCAACATACCTACGTGTCTGTGTCTTGTGTGGACGTGCAGTCGTCCTGAAACCATTTTTTTTACACAAACAAACTAAGAAACAGCAGGAAAATATTGCGTCCTAAGACTTGGGACATGGAAGGCAGTATTCCGTAGGTGGCACAGCTCGGTGGGAAAGTGGTCGATGTGATCGTTAAACATACAGATGAATAAAATGAAACGTTCTGAGTAGCTAACACGGCTAACTGAGCAGAAAGTGAGCAGAGCTCTGGCACCAACTGTCTCCAAGTGTCGATAAACAGATTCACACACAATGTTGGTGAAACAAGCGTGAACAAAAACGTGACTTGGTGACGTGTGAGCGCCTCCTCTGTCCGTGCAGCTCAGAGCAGACGTTGGTTTATTGAACAGTATCAGTTCAGCAGTGACTTCATCCTGACTCCAGGCCCTGGCATCATGCTGCAGGAATTTCCACCTTAGATCATCTCTTGATGTGAACTGAGAGAGGAATCACAGCATCCAGCCAGCGACTAAGGAGGGGTCACCCAGCTGTCTGGAACAGGGCCATGTTTCTCAGCTACAGAAAGGCAGCGCCGTGAAATCACAGATCTGATGATGTGAGTTATCCCCCTGACAGCACGGGAAACGGGCAGAGTCGAGGCTGGAGACAGAGCCTGGTGAAATATGGCTCCGCCAGCGGGGGCGAGCGGGGGAGAGCGGGGGCGAGCGGGGGAGAGCGGGGGGGAGGGGGGGGGCGCGGGAGGGGGGGGGGGCAGCGGGGGAGAGCGGTGGCCTGGTGTTGTCTCCCCCTCTGCTCCATTTCATTATTGACACTCCCTTTGGGGCGGGTGGTTGATGGAGGACTAAATGTTTTTCAGGGAGCAGGTCCTCCCTCCTACTACAAACATGAATATTTCAACTCCACTTTCTACCTTTGAAAGAAATAAAGCCTTGATGAGAATCTACGTCCCTCTTTGGTCGTCTTCCCCCCCCCCCCAGCCTCCCAGGGAGGGATTGTTGGCACACTTTTTCAAACTGATGAGTGGTGAAAGTGTCAAAAGTTAAGATGTAAAAACCTGGGCAGATGTTCCAGTGAAGAAACAGGTGTCATTTAAACTGCAGCACTTTTTACCTACGACACAGGGTTCCTGAAGACAGCCTTCAACATGGAGTGTTGACACAAGAGAGACGTTTGTTAACTCAGATATATAAGATGGCAGTGGCTCTGCTGAAGTGTGTGTGTGTGTGTGTGTGTGTGTGTGTGTGTGTGTGTAAAGGATGAGCTTTTGTCAAAACAAATGAGCCAGCCATTGCAGCTGCATGTAAATCAGCACATATTTCCCCCACAATATTCACTCTTCACATTTCTTCAGCCAATCACCAGTGCTTTTTCTGCTCCTTTAAAGAGAGCAGGCAGCAGCCCTTCATTTTACTCTTCCTGTGCAGAAATGTGTTTATCCCTGTGGAAATAAAGATTTCTTCTCTTTCTAATTTAGTTAATTAGGTCTTAAGGCTATGGAGGAACAGATGATGAAGAACCTGTGGCTGTGATATGATGTCATGACCTCCAACCTGTAGGAGGAACAACAGCAGAATCATCGACACAAAACAACCGTTCTACAGTCGTTCAGCTTTGATTAGTCTTCAGACAGTTGGTCAAAATGACAAGAGCCTCTTCAACAAACTGTATGGACTGTACACATGGACTGTACACATGGACTGTACACGTGGACTGCACACGTGGACTGTATACATGGACTGTATACGTGGACTGTATACATGGACTGTACACATGGACTGTATACATGGACTGTACACCTGGACTGTACACATGGACTGTACACATGGTACACATTGATAATGAAGTAACATCGACTAAAACAGTTGGCGCCGAGAGTTTGACAGTTGAAGCTGATTTTGAAGGATGGCAGAGCAGAAGTTAAACTCAACTTTATCAGAGCACCTCTGCACCAAGGGGGCAGTGTGGAGCCAAGCAGTCATTCTTTACAGCGTGACCTCGTGAGTGTGGAGTCATTCTTTACAGCGTGACCTCGTGAACATGGCTTAGCAAAGGGTGGAAACGGATGTGGAACAGGGACATATCACTCTCAGTAGGTGATGACAAGTCAATGCTGTAATCACAGCCGTACCAACCTCTGCAACCTGTCTATATCCATCACACATCCCTGGGGTTAAATCTCCTTCAGATCATGTGCAGAGAGTGCAGCTGTAATAGCACGCCATCCTGCAGCACTCTTCTGGGCAGAACTGACAACCTCAGACCACAGTCAAGAGGCTTTTCTCATGTTTTTATCCACGGCCTCCTCATTCCTTCGGGGGTTTTGTGTATTCAAAGGCATCTGGCCACGGGAACGCCGAAGATGTAATCAGTACTGCTTCACTTCACTTCACTCGATCTGTTTCCTCAATTAGGTTTGATGCTTGCAGCTGCAAAATGATGCTTGCTTAACATAAGCTCGATGGTGAAGTGAACGCAGCTTGTTGTAAGGGAAAATATTTGTCTTGATGCCTTTTATTGGGCCTTTCAATAAAATCTCCTCCTTCATCGATGATCAGACAACACGCTCTGCGGCCCAGAGCCGCCGACAGAGGATTGGCTGGAGTCATGTGATGACCTGCTGCGTGGCGGTCTTTGAGTCACATGCTAACGTGTGACGTGTTGTTTTGATCTGGCGCCAAACTGTTAGTGCAGCACACACAATAATGGGGCTGGGGTGGGGTGGGGGGGGCATCACTAAATGTCTGAGAGTGCAGAATTTATTTTTATCACATATACACACAAAAAAATCTCAGCCCAGATGATCGATGTCTCCGAACACGTTGGACACCTCGGCATCTGAACAGAAAAGTCTTGTTCTCCTGAGGTGGGATCAAACCCATGATGTTGTTGCTGCTGTTGTGCGTCATCTCATCAATACAACGTGTCTCTGCTCGGTTTTCCTCTAAACTTAGCCTGAGGGTGTTTGTGTGTGTGTGTGTGTGTGTGCTGCTGCGAGAATCTGAAATTGTTCTAAATGACTTAGGAAATACCTCGCAGCACATTCCTGAGAAATGAAATTGGATATTAATTAATCCTCCATTGTTTGCATGTCTCTGATTTGACTGCTTTGATTGGAGATAATGGTGGGAAAAAAAAGAAAAAAACAGCATCTGCTTTTCATCCACAACAAGAACATGAGACCAGTATTGTTAAGCCAATACTTCGCAGAGGAATGAACGTAACCTAATTTATGCAACACAACCAGACTGCATAAAAATACGCAGGAGCAAAACCAGAGACGTGCTTATGAAAAATGTCATTTTTCAGTCCTGGGGCCCATGTATAATCTGTCCTTTCTTGAAAACAGTTCAATACATGTTGGCTGTTTCTCCCTGCTCACAGTTGCCCACCGTGGTTTACAAATTAAATTATACAAACAACACAGAAGCCCACTGACTGCAGCACATATGCTCCAAGTCCACGCTGCACGGCTCTGACTAAAACAACAGAGTGTGGTATGGAGTGACTTCATGTGCACAGCCTGAACAAACACAGCCTATCAGGAGGAAGTCCCATTACGGCAGAGCAAGTTTTGTTAGGACCAAATATGAGAGTGAGCGCTGCGTATCAAAACAACAGATAATGGATTCTCATTCCTCCGGGCGACAGGAAATACTTGTATGAGGAATGTCTCTGCGTTTCCCAAATAACATTTTTCACTACAGAAACTAGAATTACCACCTCACAGTTCTACGGCTCCAGTCAAATTACACGAAACATATCTGACAATCTCCACACACTTTTTAAAACAGAGGCAGTGAAGAATAAAATACAGAACAAACCATGACTCAGTGAGAGTCCAGTTTTACTGAGACCACGAGTAAGAAAATAAAAAAACAGTTTTACTGAAGTATTTGTACACAGAGCTTTTAACAGGTTAAAAATTAAACTACCACCAGTTGTCTTTAAAGTTGTGGCAGCATAGGGTCTGTGGGCCCTCGGTGGTCCACCAGGGGTCATGACCTTTGATTAGGTCTTCAGTGGCACTGGGCCGTTCAGATCCTAACTCTAGTTAACACGTGAGCTAGCATTTAGTAAAAAAATATTGTTGTCATATCATTTACCAACTTTCAGTTTTCTCTTTGTTTGAACCATCCAGTTTTTTTTATTATTTATTTGACCTTAAACCAGACACAACAGTTCATATTTCAGACACCGTGTGGCAGCACGGCTCATTAGTAACATGGAGATGTTTAAATTGTGCAACAGCAACATCTTGAAAAGCAGAAATAAATGGCTGTGTCTCAGTGGAGCCTTCAGTATAAAGACAATACATCTGAGTCAGAATGATCTTCCTCACACATACCTCAGCGTGACAGATCACGGTTCCGCCCATAAATTATTAAAATAGTGGAAATGAAAGAAGAAGGCGGAGGTGCCGCTGCACAATAACCGTCTCACTGTTTTAAGGCGGCGCTCAGTGTATGAAGCGTATTGTGTTTTGTATTTGTAAAGGTCGAATCTCCATTCCTGTCTGAATAATGCATAACAAAATCACAGCCAATCCGGTGATACATTAAACATACAGGCCCTAACACCTAATCCTGTATAAGAGGGATGAATTCAATAAGTCGTCGCCTTCTCATCTGCTGCCACCTTTGGACGTACGCATACAGAATGTGTTCTGTGGAAAACCTAGCTTCAGTCGGCGTCTTTGAAGAGCAGCTCCAGGCCCAGAGGACCAACACTGACGTGGATGAAGGAGGATCATGTTGTTCATGTCATGTTCATGTAAAAAGATAAACCATAACATGTGACTGAACAGAACACCACGTGTGACCAATTCAAGTCTCATTTTTTAATATCCAATCAGATGTCAGTGAACTGCTGTTTGTTGTCCTTGGATTATAATTCTGATGGATTAGCCTTAAAGCTGCTGAACAATATTTGTCTTGATGCCTTTTATTGGGCCTTTCAATAAAATCTCCTCCTTCATCGATGATCAGACAACACGCTCTGCGGCCCAGAGCCGCCGACAGAGGATTGGCTGGAGTCATGTGATGACCTGCTGCGTGGCGGTCTTTGAGTCACATGCTAACGTCTGACGTGTTGTTTTGATCTGGCGCCAAACTGTTAGTGCAGCACACACACTAATGGGGCTGGGGTGGGGTGGGGGGGGCATCACTAAATGTCTGAGAGTGCAGAATTTATTTTTATCACATATACACACAAAAAAAATCTCAGCCCAGATGATCGATGTCTCCGAACACGTTGGACACCTCGGCATCTGAACAGAAAAGTCTTGTTCTCCTGAGGTGGGATCAAACCCATGATGTTGTTGCTGCTGTTGTGCGTCATCTCATCAATACAACGTGTCTCTGCTCGGTTTTCCTCTAAACTTAGCCTGAGGGTGTTTGTGTGTGTGTGTGTGTGTGTGCTGCTGCGAGAATCTGAAATTGTTCTAAATGACTTAGGAAATACCTCGCAGCACATTCCTGAGAAATGAAATTGGATATTAATTAATCCTCCATTGTTTGCATGTCTCTGATTTGACTGCTTTGATTGGAGATAATGGTGGGAAAAAAAAGAAAAAAACAGCATCTGCTTTTCATCCACAACAAGAACATGAGACCAGTATTGTTAAGCCAATACTTCGCAGAGGAATGAACGTAACCTAATTTATGCAACACAACCAGACTGCATAAAAATACGCAGGAGCAAAACCAGAGACGTGCTTATGAAAAATGTCATTTTTCAGTCCTGGGGCCCATGTATAATCTGTCCTTTCTTGAAAACAGTTCAATACATGTTGGCTGTTTCTCCCTGCTCACAGTTGCCCACCGTGGTTTACAAATTAAATTATACAAACAACACAGAAGCCCACTGACTGCAGCACATATGCTCCAAGTCCACGCTGCACGGCTCTGACTAAAACAACAGAGTGTGGTATGGAGTGACTTCATGTGCACAGCCTGAACAAACACAGCCTATCAGGAGGAAGTCCCATTACGGCAGAGCAAGTTTTGTTAGGACCAAATATGAGAGTGAGCGCTGCGTATCAAAACAACAGATAATGGATTCTCATTCCTCCGGGCGACAGGAAATACTTGTATGAGGAATGTCTCTGCGTTTCCCAAATAACATTTTTCACTACAGAAACTAGAATTACCACCTCACAGTTCTACGGCTCCAGTCAAATTACACGAAACATATCTGACAATCTCCACACACTTTTTAAAACAGAGGCAGTGAAGAATAAAATACAAAACAAACCATGACTCAGTGAGAGTCCAGTTTTACTGAGACCACGAGTAAGAAAATAAAAAAACAGTTTTACTGAAGTATTTGTACACAGAGCTTTTAACAGGTTAAAAATTAAACTACCACCAGTTGTCTTTAAAGTTGTGGCAGCATAGGGTCTGTGGGCCCTCGGTGGTCCACCAGGGGTCATGACCTTTGATTAGGTCTTCAGTGGCACTGGGCCGTTCAGATCCTAACTCTAGTTAACACGTGAGCTAGCATTTAGTAAAAAAATATTGTTGTCATATCATTTACCAACTTTCAGTTTTCTCTTTGTTTGAACCATCCAGTTTTTTATTATTTATTTGACCTTAAACCAGACACAACAGTTCATATTTCAGACACCGTGTGGCAGCACGGCTCATTAGTAACATGGAGATGTTTAAATTGTGCAACAGCAACATCTTGAAAAGCAGAAATAAATGGCTGTGTCTCAGTGGAGCCTTCAGTATAAAGACAATACATCTGAGTCAGAATGATCTTCCTCACACATACCTCAGCGTGACAGATCACGGTTCCGCCCATAAATTATTAAAATAGTGGAAATGAAAGAAGAAGGCGGAGGTGCCGCTGCACAATAACCGTCTCACTGTTTTAAGGCGGCGCTCAGTGTATGAAGCGTATTGTGTTTTGTATTTGTAAAGGTCGAATCTCCATTCCTGTCTGAATAATGCATAACAAAATCACAGCCAATCCGGTGATACATTAAACATACAGGCCCTAACACCTAATCCTGTATAAGAGGGATGAATTCAATAAGTCGTCGCCTTCTCATCTGCTGCCACCTTTGGACGTACGCATACAGAATGTGTTCTGTGGAAAACCTAGCTTCAGTCGGCGTCTTTGAAGAGCAGCTCCAGGCCCAGAGGACCAACACTGACGTGGATGAAGGAGGATCATGTTGTTCATGTCATGTTCATGTAAAAAGATAAACCATAACATGTGACTGAACAGAACACCACGTGTGACCAATTCAAGTCTCATTTTTTAATATCCAATCAGATGTCAGTGAACTGCTGTTTGTTGTCCTTGGATTATAATTCTGATGGATTAGCCTTAAAGCTGCTGTACCAGAGCCAATAAACAACAGCTCACTGAGTTGGAGAGGTGACATCATCAGTGACATCATCGTGGCGCCGTGCACCACAAAATGAAACAACTTATAAAGTATTTGTATCAGAGACAAAATCTTTCTCAATATTTCTCAGACGGCAGTAACAGATCAAACAGGTGAAGAACCTACAGTCAGTTAGAACAGAACGACCTCCGACCTCAGGGTCAGGCACTGGTGGGATATTTGCAGACACAGAAGAATTCCCTGACCTGCAGTATGTGCCAGTTGACAAGTGGTGGCGTTAGAAGAGAACACAGGCAGCGCGTCTGGTTCTGTGAAGCCTTTGGTCCTGGAATAAAAACTCACAGTGTTTTCTTACTGACTTCATACAGTCTGATAAAGCCAAAAAACGGGGCCTGTTTTCTTCTTCTTGTTATTAAGGCTACATTAAACAGTACGTTTGAGCCGTGGGTGCTGTAGGTGTCACTAAAACAGTCAAACATCACAGTCTCTGACTCATTCCTTCAGATTCTTTGTTCAGTTTATGCTGAATCTCTATGTTGAAGCCTCTCCATTTAGCACTTGAATAATATTGTGCCTTATATCTATAATCGAAGACGACAACCTATATGTGCACATATAGCAAAAAAAAAAGTAATTTTCTCTAACATGTAAGAAATGACACATGACAAACATCTTTATTCAGACAAGTTTAAAATGTAAATGGCAGAGATCTGAACGGTTGGTTCATTGTTGGAATATCAAAATCTGTGTGTGTGTGTGTGTGTGTGTGTGTGTGTGCTAACAACCCCGAGACCCCCACTGTGTTCCTTCCAGTGCCACTGGAGCCCATGAGGCCAGTGGACCATGACACCAACACAACAACAATAATGAGAAAAGTAAAAACCATTGAGAATAAACCAACAACAAATGGATTCCATTCACATTTGGATGCAGTCTGGGTCACACGAGGAGGACGAGCGTCCTGTCCCTCTTCAAGATCTGGAAAATAGTGAAGAATTCATTTGTCATTTGCCTAAAGAGCTCAGCTCGTCCTGTGGGACAAATCCTGGACAAACATATTTGTTTCTCCCGGTGTGTTGAGAGGTGACACAGAATATTTCCTGAACACTAGCAGCGCCACAGAAGATCAGTGCCTTCCAGGCGCTTTATGAGGAGATATGAAAATTTCAAGGGCGATTAAATTTAACTAGAGATCATAACTCATTACATCGTCCGATCTTTCAGCCAAGACACCATTAGCTCCATGGAGTTATTTAAGACTGCGTTGGGCTCTTCATAAAACTTTGTCACAGTCAGTCACAGACGGAGAGAAGACGGACCCGAACACTGGGAGGAAGAACAACAACAACAACACGGTACTTACTGAACGATCTTGCAGTTTGTTGTTCTTACAGTCCGTCCTGTGTAGTGAACGTTACATCTGACCACATTGTTGGTGAAGTCAGATTCCATTACTAAGAATTTGGGATTAACCTGGAGCTGGAGACGAGAGAGAGAGAAAATTACAAGACAAAATCATCGTTCAATCTCAACCAGGGGCGAACGGGGCAACAGTGGGTTAGAAGAAGAGAGCGAGGAATTATAAGATGCTCTTCATACCACACATCTGGCAGCTAAATAAAATATACATGAAACATGGACACCATGATGGATCCAGAATCACTGCAGTGAAATGTTGGAGCTGGGAGAGAGTATTGATATATTAACGTGAAAACTGAAGAAAAGTGACCAACGTTTAGGGTTAGGGACTCTGACCTTTGGCCTCCAGTCAATATTCCACCATAATGTCGGTCTCTATCACTGTCACCGTCATGATTTGATTTGAATTTACTCAACTCTAAAAAACATTCGACAGGAGTTCCTCTCAGCACCAATTCACTTCCAAAGCTTCACCCCGGATATTTACCTTCAGGATGTAGTTGCCAGGTTTAATGTCTGTGATATCGATCCACTGACAGTCAATGTCAGCATTGTACGTGTCATAGCAGCCTGGACTCAGACCCTGGAGAAACAGAGCGAGAAAAAGAGTGAAGAAGAGTGAAGAAGAGTGAAGAAGAGTGAGGAGGAGTGAGGAGGAGTGAGGAGGAGGGAAGAGGAGTGAAGAAGAGTGAGGAGGAGTGAAGAAGAGTGAAGAAGAGTGAGGAGGAGTGAAGAAGAGTGAGGAGGAGTGAAGAAGAGTGAGGAGGAGTGAGGAGGAGTGAAGAAGAGTGAAGAGGAGTGAAGAGGAGCGAAGAAGAGTGAAGAGGAGTGAGGAGGAGTGAGGAGCAGTGAGGAGGAGTGAGGAGGAGTGAAGAGGAGTGAGGAAGAGGGAGGAGGAGTGAAGAAGAGTGAGGAGGAGTGAAGAGGAGTGAAGCGGAGTGAGGAGGAGTGAGGAGGAGTGATCTCTGAACACAGCAGTGCTCATGATTAAACAGCCATACGCAGCAGCTGCTGCTCCATTAGCCTTAGCTCCTTCACCTGGGTGTGAGCGGTGCAGGCGTAGCGCTTCAGGTGGCCAAAGTCACAGGTGGTGTCCTCCAGGCAGAAGCTGGCCTTATGACCTTCTGCCACTTTACGGTTGGTGCTGACCTCCAGTAGATCATAATGGCTGAACTCATCCATGCTGTGGTAATGCCTAGCATTGAAAGTGAAAAGAATAAAAAAGTTACAGACCGACAGTTGTTCAGTCAGTGACTGAATCCTTTGGTAAATATTGCTGCGCTGAAGTGTGCTCCTCTGCAGAGACACTGCCCTCTGTTGGCGTTCTTTCATCTTCATTTGGCAGTTAACTTTGAGGAGTCCTACAGTCCAACTTATTTTGTCTTAACGTTTTTGTTTTACCTGGTGATTGTGTGTTAACATCCCAGGGACATTTATATAAAAGCAAAACAGAAAAACCAACAGACGGCACCGATCAATTATTTATTCACTAACTGTGGATTTAACCTGTTGTTCACGTCTGTTAACGTGTCTGTAGGTGAGTGTTGACATCATTAAATATGAAAGGACAACAGACACTAATTAACAACAGACACTACAGGACATTAACACTCTAATGATTTATGTTAAGTTAATTAGCCTGTATCAGTCAACAAGATCAGCTGTGTGTGTGTGTGTGTGTGTGTGTGTGTGACTCACATCTCTGTTAGTGTGCTGTGATACAGTAGCACACACATATATTAGCATTGTTTGTGATGTATTCTTGTGTACTTCCAGGTTTCTCACCAGCTTCTCTCTCTGTGTTTGTTGTGCAGATTTTAGCAGCTTAGAAAAGCCTGGAAGCACAAATCACTCCACTCTAAGTTTTAACCACTGACTCTCAGGAAGCTGCACGTCAGGACGCCGGTCCGTAGAGATCATTCTGTGACTGACTGTGACCTGGACCTGTCTCCACCTCAACACAGTGACAAAAGGACGGTGGTCACGTGTTTTTACATCGCTGAGAAACGTCTGCCGTATCAGGCTGAAGCTACGGGTGTTGTCATCAAAAAGTGACGAAATAGGCAAACAATATCTTTTCCCAGGCGCTGCAGTGATATGT